CTTTGTCTGTGCGCGAGTTCGCGACGGAAATAAATAAAAAAAAAAAAAGACAGAGAGGAAGGGGAATGAACACGTGACCAGTGCGGCGTCTCCCATGTATATTTTGTGAGAAAGAATGGGCCACGCCCCCTTTTTCCTGTGTATTAACCAGTTGACATCCGCGGTGTTAAACCCCCTTCCCATCCAGGCCATTTTTCAGTATTCAGCGCTGCGGTACTTTAACTGACATTTATTCCGTCATGCAGCGCTGTACTGAAATGAATTTTATACCCTTTTTTGGGGACAGATAGAGCTTTCTTTTGGTGGTATTTATTCACCACTGGGGGTTTTATTTTTTTACTATATTAAGGAAAAATTACCGAAATTTAAAAAAAAAAACAGTTTCCCCTATATTAAATGATAAAACATTTATTATTACCCAATTTTTTGGTAAAATATAAAAGATGGGGTCACGTCGGGTAAAAAGACACTAAACATGTCAAGCCTTAAAATTGCGTGCGCGCGCGAAACCTCAAAAAACGATAATACCCAAAATTGGCCATAGGCGACGCTTTAAAAGCTGTTACCGCTCATCAGTTTAGTGTTATCAGTGATTGATGGCCCTAAAATGATTGCTCTCACTGCGACGTTCGCGGCGATATGTAACATGTGTAGCGCAATTGTAATTTTTGCGCGCTGGGGCACCGGACGCGTATTTACGTTTATAGGCGCGTAAACGTGGGGGTGGGGGAGTTAAACATTTTGGGGGGGTTTTTTCCCCTTTTTTTATATGTGACTTTTATTTTATTTTACTTTTTTATGTGTTACTTTTATTTTTTTTTATTTATATTTATTTTTTTGCACTTATTGTTATTGCTATTATATAGGGGGATAACAAACCCCCTATATAATAGCAAAGGCACACTGACAGGTCCTCTTTATGGAGATATTAGGGGTCTCTAGGACCCCTAATATCACCTGTGGACCCCAAAAGAAGCTGATGAAGCAGAGATCTGCTTTATGCCGCGAACGAGCACATATAGGCGATCGGCGGGCTATGGACCCGCTGATCGCCTATATGTGTAACACCCGGTAACGGGTGTGTGCATTGATCGGGACTTTTCTGCCCGTGCGTGCCCGCTAGGGGGCGCGCGCGAGCAGAAAAAAATTGCCGTCTGGAGACGGCAACCCGCAGATGCTGCAGTGCCGTCTGTCCGTTTTTCTACTACGGGCGGACGGCAAGAGGTTAAAGAGGACATGCCACTATGGAATGACATTGTACCCAACCAATAAACATATATATATATATATATTTTATGATACACACAGGGCCAAATTCATAAACACTGTAAGAAGGAAGAACTGTTCTTGTTGCCCTTAGCCACCGATCAGAACTTACCTTCTATTTTTTATCTTGGAATCTGGTTGCTATGGGCAACAAGAACAGTTTTTCCCTTTTCCAGTCTTTGTGAATATGGCCCATAGTATGTTAGTAAATGTCACCGTGTTATGGTTTACATCTGCTTCAATTTGTATCTGTCAGACGGTCACCACAAGCAGCCATTTTGTGAGGTGATCAAGCGCTTAGTCTGTGGTGAACTAAGGGCCCACTCACCTGTAGTGCATCTTTAATGCATTGCGTTAAAATGTATTGTACCACAGGACACGTTTTGCTTGCGTATTGCATGCATTTTCTTCCTTTTCATTTTTATTTCCTGTCTCCATTTTGTGCGTTTTGTCTGTTTTTTTTTAACATGGACACGTGACTTGAAAAAAACGCACGAATTAAAGGGCATGTTGTTGTTTTTGTGCATTTCCTGTGTGTTGTCATTGACTATAATGTAATGCGGCTTTTTTCGAAAACACACGAAAGATGCAGTACGTGGGCATAATCAAAAACGTAACACAACACACCGATGTGAAGATCTCATAGATTATGATGGTGACTTGTTTTCATGTGATTTTACTGTCATCCTGTGTGGGGATGAGCTTCGGGTTTGGATCAACCATGAACTCAACTTGAACCGAAGCTGTTCACAGTTCACCGAACGAGGGAATTATTTGGCCATTTTGCCCACCTACCAAACCTCCTTCTGTGTCCTAGCAACCATTGGCAATCTGTGGCCTCCTCAGCAACATTGGTTGACAGGTGGCTGTGCGCCACAGAGTCATGGGTTGCTAGGATATAGGCAGCACAGCGTCATTGGTTCCTAGGACATAGGCGGCACAGAATGATTGGTTGCTAGAACATAGGCTGCACAATGGTGCTGTGTGAGTCACCAAGTGTTATTAGTCACACAGCATCATCGGATGCTTAGATGCCGGCGGCCCCACATCATCATCAGTTATTTTTGTGTGACCATCTGCATCCTAGCAACCAATGATGCTCTACAACCAATAACACTGTACAACAACACACAGCATCTTTGGTTGCTAGGTTGCAGATGGGTACACCATGACAACCAATGATGATGAGGGGCTGCCAGCATCTTAGCAACCAATGATGCTAGGCCACTAATAACACTAAGCAACCCGCACAGCATCAATGGTTGCTAGGACGCTAGAAACTGGACTGAACAGCATCATTGGTTGGTAGGATGTAGGTGGACTGACCATAACAACATTTGACACTGTGGGGCCACCAGCACTGTAGCAACCAATGAAGCTCTGCAGGGCACACAGACTGGTTGTTATGGTGTGCCTATGGCAACGATACTGTGCAACTACTAACACTGGGCCACACAGCATCATTGGTCGCTAGGACGCTAGTGGATGGGACACAGAGCATCTTTGGTTGCTAGGAAGCTAGTAGATGGGACTCAAATCATCATTGGTTGTTAGGTTGTAGACTAGTCCACCATAACAACCTTTGACGCTAGGGATCGGTTCGCGTGGACATTTGCCAGACCCGGATTTACGTCTACCGATCCAAGGCTATTTTACTCATCACCAGTTCTGTGTTGTAGTGCACATACAATGTCATGGGGTGGAAAGGCCCTTGGTGCTATGACTGGTTGCTATGGGTAACCGTGCATTGCTCCCTGGTAGATTCTCCAGTAGTAAATATGGCTCTGATGTTGACGTAAGTCACATGATCACATTCCTGTGTATTTGCATATGAGGTTTAATCCCTGACGCAGCGGTGATTCATTGTACCCTGGTAAGTTGTGTAACTGATCATGTAATCAGGGAACGGAGGTGACTGCAGCCGGAGATCAACGATG